TGGAATTTTTTCAGCATAGATAAAAAAAATGTCAGCGAACATGTGTCTTTTAAAATATTTCAGATTATGAATAGGGTTAAAAATTCGAAAAAGCAAGATTCTTTTGTCACACCGCATCTGGCGACGGAAAATTACGTTCTTTGTAAGACAACTTAATCGACAAATAAATTAATATACAAAAAATCCTATCATTCAATATTTGAACAATTACGTCGAAATGCAAGTTCGTCATGTTATTGATTAACTGCAAAAATATCGATTTGTGAAACTGAGCTCAATATTGCACAGGGCATAGTTAAGCAAGACATGAGCATGAGAAAAACGTGTCATGTTTACATTTCTCGAGTACGGGAAAAACCCTATTATGACGTCACACATTTGCGAAATAAGCTAAGTAAGACATAACTACAATATATTTCCGTCATCAACCATGTAAAAATGTTCTTTGTGTTCTGTAATTCATAAAATATCCCACCATGTACTGATCATGGCCCTTTTTTATGATATTATACTACCAATGTTTTACCTTGTATAATCTTACTGTACTAAGATCCACTATGACGTCAGCGAATCGTTGGACGCGCAGTGTAGGGAAACAGAAGAGTGGATCAATCTATTCCGTAATTTGAAACTATTTGCAAGAAAGTTTGAATGTTTTTAGTTATTTTTATACAAGATGGTGAACTTAAACAAACAGTATTTTTTTTTTACAAATACTGTGGTTTTAATCTGGTTTTGTACATATTTTATTAATGATTATGACGTAATTAAACTGAGTCACGTGACCATACATCCTTCGTCCCCTTAAAATGTTTATCATAATGATCGATTTTGAGGCAGTCTCATAAAAACGTATTCCATGCTTTATTATATTTACACTGTATGTTCAGTATAATGTTACAAACAAGAAAAAGTAAGGTGACTGTAACTTACAATTCACTGACTTTTATACAACAAGATGGAAAAAACAAATCATATACCATCACAAAAAGGATTGAAACTGTATGTATTTCAGTGGCTGACTCTCATTTTTTTAATGTAAGCTTGTTTCGCGCCAAATGTCAGGAATGAAAACTTTTCGCATTTTCTTTGGATTTTGAGTTTATATTAAATGGGTGTGAAAGCTTTCATGAAATTAAAAAGGGTATTTTATTCCAGCCTGAATTTCAAGCTTCGGAAAGTATAGTTATCACAGTGTAGATATAACAAAACATCGTATATGGACAGGAACACTAAAGCAGTGAATTCACTAAAATTTTCTACATACTTTTTCCCTATATTTACCCCAAAATCGACTAACACCATTAGTTATTCATTCATGAAAAGACTGGAATAGACTCTATTCATGCATCCGCCATTAAGATACGAAATTGAGGCTGACCTGACTAAAACGGAGAAGATGACGAAGTCTAATGAAGGTCTCTCAGGATGGACGCAATCTCTGATGTCAACACCAGAGAACGACGATACTGTTATAAAACACTGGTCAACAAATTGCAATATACCAATAAAATCGTTGAAAAGAGGGTACAGAAACTTTGCTGAAGGTTACATTCACGATGTTGAAGGTTTGTTGATATTTTACGTGGGTCTTTAGAGGGCATACACTAAACTTTATTTTACATGAACGACTGTTCCAGATCAAGTAATTTCTTGATTGAAAGATGATAATACAAATATACCATGGCTAAGAGAGAAAAAAAAAACAACTTTAAATCGGTCAATTATTAAAGATTTAAAAGAAAAGGGTATTAATTCTAACATTACAATAACCTATGTGAAATATACACTGAAAGTAGGCGTTATTTAATTCAATCAGTTGCTCCAAGATTTTTAAGAAATCAGAACCACATACATTCTATTACCGGCAACTTTGACAACAGATGGCACTAATGTAGATATACAAAAAAAAGATTACACGGACATGTCTGTATTTAAAATTGAATGGAATAAGAAGTTGATGTTTATATTTTATCTGATGATTTTTATTTTTAAACCTTGATTGACAAATTCCAATGTGGATCTGCTTACACAGAATTTACATGTAGATAGGTAATAAAGAAAGAAAAACTTTGAAAGTCAAAAGAATTTAGTTTATTTAACGTCCATTTTATTACTAAACTCTATCAACTGATGTAAGGTTATGTTGAATTTTTTTTATATCAATGATGTACACATTTCCGTTTGATTTAGAGGTTTGTTTTATTTAAAAAAAATTACGTTTTGAATCAAAATTATGACTGTTATCATGTATTAATCTTCGAAATGCCACCTACGGTCCTATTTTTTAGACGAAAATGCATTAACTTCTTAATAAGGAATTGGATCAAAATTAGGAGATAATTAGTTAAGGCTAAAAGGAGTATCATTCAAAATCATTTTTTGAAATAAAATTTATTCACAATGGCAAAGGTATATAAAGAGATAAATATTAATTTCAGGAATAATAGCACAGGTAATCATGATGAATATTCAATTTCTCCTTTTCGATAAAAAAAAAAGAAATATAAATTTTAGATACAATCAACGGCTTGTTTATATTTAAATTAAACAGTTTTGTTTTGTTTCTAGATTTGAATGTTTTAATTAAAATAAGCACAAAGTTACATGTATGGAAGTGTTTACATTGAAGTTATATATAACAAGTATACAACATGTATAAGGCTCAAAATAAAATACTGCAACATCACTCAGATGTTAATGCTCATAAATGGATTGTTGACTTGTTTGATCCGGGTCTTCATATACTAAACTATCTTCAACTTCGTCTGTGATCTGTGTTCTTAATTTGGAAGGTTGTGTGGATATTTCAATTTGATCCGGGTCTTCATATATTGCACAATCTTCAACTTCATCTTTGATTTGTGTTTTCAATTTTGAAGGCTTTGTGGATTTCTCTCTTTCATCCAGGTCGTCATATGCATGCACTACACGTTCTTCAACTTTGATCTGTGTACTCAATTTTCTAGGAATCGGTGTAGTTATTTTCTCTTGTGGATTCTTTCCTTTGCACATTTGCCTCCTACAGCTCCTAAAATATATCTTATTTCTTTTAATTTAGAAAAAAAGTGAACAAATGAAAGTTGTGAAGATATTTGACATCATTAACTAGGATGGAGGTTAAAAGAAAGAGAATGTACAAGAACTCACCAGATGATCAAAACGACATTGAAGACAACACTTAAGCCAAGAGAAGATATCATTCCGTACAAAAAGTAAAGGTTCCTGTCAGCTGTATCAGAATCTAATAATTCTTTTATCACTGCAATAATGTAATTTAAACGTTAGTGTATTTTTTAAATCTTACATTTATATTTACATACATATGAAGCCCATTACACTAAGAACTCAAGCATTTTAATTCATTTTTTTAAATTACATGTATGATGGATTATTTAATCGATTTTGGTAAGCCTTTCCTTATTTATAATGAAGTGATTTTTTGTACAAAATCCTTATAATGTAATCTGTATCCTTAAAGCTGATACTTTCAATAACTTTAAAAAACGGTCTTTCTGGTAGAGAAAAATATTCAAGGAAGTACTTAATTTTGCAGATGATAAATTCAAGAATGTTATCTGCTGCCCAATCTAAAAGTACATTATGATTTTTGTTTTAGGAAACAAGTAAACGTCTTAAGAAGACTACATCCTTTTATTTAGAGTATTTTCACGTCAACAAAATCAAATTCGGTTGCTACAAGTATATACAATATTTTTGCCAATAATGAATTGTGTTTACCTACCGTTACATTTCCCTTCTATTGTATCACATCTTCTGACAACGCTACAGTTGGTACAGGTTTCTTCGCAGTTGTATCCATACCGTCTGTTTGGACACACTTGAAACAATAATCAAAATAAATCACAATTACAGTTCACATGCTTATTAAGAACCCTCTCTACACTGAACACTAAAGAGTTTTGATTTAAAAGTATTTTTCTGCAGTTAGAGTAGCCTACTTTTTCATCTTAATTCTAAAAAAAAACAATAGAAGTTTACAATATATTACTCAATTTGTAATGAATTGAAGTATTGTTAACATTTTAAAAGGCCAAGATGAATTAACTGAACGTGTTTTTTACATGTATTTTCTCTATTGAAGTAATTAACAGTGATTTCTATTCACTGATACTGTGTTGTCTTTGAACATCTATTCTCGGGGGCAAATGCCACGCATCACACAGTGAAAATTAAATGAATAAGCTCATCTTTAACTCCTTTATACAATATTTTTCTCGATGTCCCAAAAAATTGCACTGGTGTAGAGAGAGTCCATAATAAGTATATGCTTTGCTTTGTTATATACGTATACGTAATTCGATATTTTCGTTAGCTTATCATTATGCTTAAAACTCAGGGGAATCAAGCTTAATTCGTTAAAAGCGTCAAATCATTATAACTGTAACTGCTTTTAACGTGTTGTACTGACTATGTAAAACATTATTACCTTCTTTGTTTCATTTTTTTTGTTTAAAGTGCAGGCAAGATCAATTTTATCTATTATATTCCCAGGTTAAATAACTAAACTTCATTGGTTGAAAAAGTTTTTTTTCTGCACTACTGCGTGCTGACATAAAAAACCTTAACTCGGATATATCGGTCACATCTGAAATTTATTTTAATTGCATTGAAGGTACACATTGGAAAGTGTATTTATTTTGGGGGTAAACAATATGTTAAAATTTTCTCTTAAAATCCATCGGGGCGGAATCCATTTCAAAAAATGTTTACTGGGTGTGATTATCTTAAATCTTATTCAACCCCCCCTAACATTTTTTTGAATAATGTAATCTTCTATATTATTTTTTTAATCGATATTTGAGTGAGTGACCAATGGTAATAAAATATTCCAGCACGACATATATATATATCACGATATATAACATTATACTGAAAAGTTCCCATAATTAGCAAATAAGATGCAAAAAACATTTTTATGAAAACATACTTATTATTTGGAAATTTACCAAATATAATCTCTGTAGAACGATATAGACTTTTAAGGGGAAGAATGACCTTTAGCCGAAAAAATTCCTGTCGTTATTTTTCTTTTTTTTTTTTTTTTTTTTTTTTTTTCATTTTTTGTATATTTCTAATATAGCATATACTACATACCTTAAAGCAGATATACATTGTACCAATTGGTTTCTAGACTTATTTTTGCGATATTGAGTGACAATTACTATGCCCAACACTGTCAAAGTGATGTTTTAATTTTCCATTTTTTTGGGCCCATTACTCCTTCCATAATAAATTTTTTATAAAAATATGTCAGCGAACATGTGTCTTTTAAAATATTTCAGAGTATGGATAGTATCAAAAATTCAATAAAGCAAAATTCTCTTCTCACATTGCATCAGGAAACGGAATATTACGTACTTTTTAAGACACTTTAAACAACAAAAAATTATTCGATAGTTTAAGATTCACGTTGAAACAGGTCGGAGAGAATACTCGAAATCGGGTATTATTCGTGAAATCGCGTTTAATACCCGATATTAGGGTATCGTTGAATCCGCGAAATCGGGTATTCCGTGCAAATTTCTATAAAGTCTAAAGAATAAAGCAACGGCGCATTATGCCAGTTACTATTACTTGTACATCAATATCTTGTGGATTTTTTTTTTTAAACCTAATTCATACGGTTGTCAAATAAGTTTAAAATCATACGACAAACACTGCTGGGGTAACAAAGAGGACACAATGGCGTAATTATTTTTCAATATAATTTCTAAAAACAAATAACTACACTTCTTTTGTCTATATTTCCCATTAAAGTATTCCATATACTTTATTTTCTTATATGTGCACTATTCACAAAATGTAAAACTCTTAAGAAATTAAACGACGTACGCCGTGTTATGTATTTTGACTGTAAAATGTATGGCGCCCCTTTCACGTAAAATATAAATTATTCCTAACAGTTAGAGAGTACAGTAGAAGCGATTCATAATTGTTTATCTCTGCCATAATAGAATACCAACGTTATGATACAGAAGAAAATAAAATAAGATTAAATAAATACCCACGGTAAAACAGGTTGAAAATAGCTAATTGAAGGTGAGTATCTTTTTTATGTCAATTTAGCATGGAAATTTTTATTCAAAGACACCGTTAATTTTTTGGTTGCATTTTAGTCGATACAAGATATTCTATTTTACCTTTATTTTAATATGCATTTGTGCGAAAATTGAGAGCGGTTCAATTGCCTTGGAAACTCTTGTCTTACTTTTTGGTGAAATAATTCCTCATCGGACATTAAAATTTCATAAAAATTGTAGCGACTTCCTTTCTTTATTATACTATTTGATAGACAGGTTAAATTTTACCTCTTTACCTTCTATATTTTTTATATCGCTATCTAATACCCCATTATAATATGCTTATATAACGCACAAACTGGTTCTAGACAATATGTCACAGTTTTCTTTTAGTTATTTTATCAATGATACTTATTACTCATGGCAATAATTTTTCCTAATACTCATCTATAATGAAAAAATGTTTTTTAAAAAATAAACATGAATTCTAGTTACTTGTAATCTCATATTGTGTTAGAAAAAATAACAGGTTGTTTTTTTTACCTATATGATTTTTATTTGATGAATAGATCTTCCCTACAATTAAAAATATATTACTGAGTTTAACCAACCGTGACATTCAAAGAGAGGTCTCTTTGACACATGTATATAGAACACAGTCGAGGTTGTTTTGTCAGAGGTGATCAAGGAGCCTTTAGCCCCCCCACCCCCCCCCCCTTGAAGTTGAAAAGAAATGGTAAAATATTGATGACTTAGCGAAATTAAACGATCAACAGCTATGTTCTCTCATAAGCTGTATTCTTGAGACTATCACTGTCTCTGCTAAAATGTTGAAGACATATTCTGCAAATATGAATGAATGATAAAAAAGAAGCATTTTCAAAAAAAAAAGAGAAAGAGTTATTTTTAGCCGAAATTTTAGACATGTTTATCATTACATTATTTATACATTCATATGTTTGTCGTGTTGAGGTCGAATTATTATAGATTCCCGAATTCTGATACTTTACAATTCTGTTGTGTTGGGAATGAACATTATGAATATGTATATACTTTCAAAATTATGAAAAATATAAAGCATATTGAACACCTTTTTGTGTGCAGATCATGAAATGTACTGAGCTCCACGGGTATTTTTTGTTCTGAGCGCAATAATTTTGACGCCCAAATTATTACTTGGCTAGTGATACCTTTAAAAAATATATCTAATGTATCTAGATGAAAGTTTACTCGGCAACGTGCACCATCCCCTTGTTTAAGTTTTATCAGGTGATTACACCTCCTATACCCGATTTTGCGGATTCAACGATACCATAATTTCGAGTATTAAACGCGATTTCATGGATAATACCGGATTTTGAGTGTTCTCTCCGACCTGTGAAATGCAAGTTCGTCATGTTAATGATTAACTATAAAAATATCGATTGATGAAGCTGAGCTCAATATTGCACAGGGCATTATTGTTAAACAATACATGAGCATGGGAGAAACGCGTCATGTTTACATTTCCCGAGTACGGGAAAACCCAACTATGACGTCACACATTTGTGAAATAAGCGAAATAATACAAATCTACAAAATGTTTCTGTCAACAACCATGTAAAATTTTTTTTTGTGTTCTCTTATTCAAAAAATTACAGGTACTGATCATGACCTTTTTATGATATTATACTACCTGTGTTTTACCTAGTATAATCTTCCTGTACTAATAGATCCACTATGACGTCAACGACTCGCTGGACGCGCAGTTTAAGGAAACAGAAGAGTGGATCAATATATTTTGTAATTTGTTAAGATTTGAAAGAAGGTTTTAATGCCTTTAAATATTTTAAACAAAATGGTAAACTCAAACAAACAGTCAAAAAATTAAACTAGAACTGTGTTTTCAATCTTGTTTTGTACATATTTTATCAGAGATTATGACGTAATTAACCTAAGTCATGTGACCATTCATCCTTCCTCCCCTTAGAAAGACCTCTTGAATACATAGCAAATACCGTTACAAGGTATCATTATGTTGCTAATATTGATGTTATTAATTCTTCATTCAATTAACATCATGATGAGGACAAGAAATGGAAATATCTAATTAAGAATTTCAAGGAAATGAGTGGGCTTTTGTTTTTGTTTTTTGTTCTTTATTTTGTTTTACGAGTCAATACTTAATACCCAAATTAGTAATGGAAGTGCAAAAACTGAATATCATTGATTAAGACAAAAAAAGGAGCGTGCTACGCCTCGTTGGTACAGAAAAGCGAAAAAGTCTCCACACTTGTGTTAATGAGTCTCCACACTTGTGTTAATATTTTTTGCATTGTCTTACTTTTTCTATCTTATCAACATGTTACATGTATCTGTTATTACGTTTTATTTTAATTTAAATATGCTTGTATTTCTTGGGGTAAGTCTGAGTAATAATTTTTTCTTCAACTAACTTAGCAGGCGCAGGAATTCTTATAAAAGACACATCTTTCAGATTCATTGACGGTACATATGCACAATCTTACATGAGTGAAGTTATAAATAATTGTTGTAAGAAAATTCGGAAAAAACGTATTGAAGAAGAAGAAACATGATCTGTTTAATTGTCCCCATTAAAGAATATATCATTTCTCATCACATTAATTAATAAGAAAGAGTAGAAATAATTTAAAAATGTACAGTGTATTTTCCCTCATAGAAATAAATCATCAATCTCTCTTTGAATTAAATTCATTTACTGACAAAGTAAGCGTAGTAAATATTTTGTGAACAAATTAAATAATGAAAGCTTCCCCCCTTCTTTCAGTTTTTCTGTTATAAAAGCATGTAAAACTAGTGCTATGAGAATAATGTAAAATAATAAAGCTTCATTGCGGCCAATCTTCGGAAGCTAGGACAAAGACTTAAAAGAAAGAAAAGGCAGGGTCACCCCCCAAAAAATATATATTTCAAGAAAAAAAGAACAGATTTAACTATAAAACTGAATTTCTGAGTATTCTTTATTTTCGGGATATATTAGCAGTTCAAACATAACTATACTCAGAATTTAACAAGCTGGAAGGACATAAAGATAATTTACCTTCACACCTCTTCAAAAGTTGTAATTAATATTGAGACTGTGTGACTATGACTATGCCTACGATCTTATTGCTGACGCTTCCCAATTCCCTTTTTAAAAACATTTTTAAGTCTATAATGCTAAAGTATAACAAATACGTTGTACAGGATCTTTCTCTGAATCCCGAGTGAAGTGAATATTCCTTTGGAATCCTTAGAAAAAATTCAATAACATTATTTTCTCATTTCTTTCTCAGAAACTTATATCGATATAACTTTAATTATTTTTAGATTTCAACATTGCTATGCTAGCTGATTAAGTGTTAAGTGTAGAGACCTTTACACTTCCGTAGCTCCCCGCTTGTACGTAATTTAAATACACAATAGATTATTTCTGTTCATTTCAATTCTTCCTTTTATTGTCTATCTTAAATATTTTTTCCCTTTTCCTCGTCAAGAGATTAACATATTATCAACTTTAAATGCCAGCCTACGATATAAGTGTGATTAGCATGTAAATATTCGAAAAATACTGCAAGGAATAGAAATGACAAAACTAAGTAACTATATCTTGCCTATTACAAAAATTTGATTCGTTATAGCAAATTCGACAATGAGTTATATAGAATGCATCATTATATTTTGATTTGTGCAAGACTGGCTTCCAAAAAAAAAATGTCATATTTTGTTCAATTGAGAGATTTAAGTTACATACATTGAATGAAGAAGTAATATTGTTTTTTTTAAATGAAAAATTGAAAAAAATTAAGTAGATAAACTAAGTGAAAAAGGATTTTTCTTTGATTAATTTTTGATTTTTACTGTTAATTTACACTAACAATTTTTGGTTCCTGTTCGTTGAAACATCAACGTTTTTTTTTAAATGAAAATAAATTATCTTACCATAGGCATTTGCAATATGTCCAATCAATATTAATTCGCTAAGAAAATAAAACAACATAGCTCAGCTGTTCATGTAATGTGATACGGAATAACTTAAAAACGGGAAGCAAAATGAAGACATCTATAGCATTTTCTTTAATGAATGATTCGGTGATATATTTATAATTCAGGAAATTGTCCTTCTCCCGGCACTGGAACCGAGAATGTTTCAAAAAAGAAAGAAAAAAAAACAGAACTTTATATAACATCCATTTAAAGATCTTTCATTCTTGAAAATTTCATTGAAATCCGTTGTATGGATGATCCTTGAGACTGTTGAATTAATAAAAACTATACACGATGAAAAGAAATATATTCTATGGTAATATAGCATAATACATATGTACATGAACAACACATCCAATATAAAATTAATGATACAGCCATACAATATCGTTGGTCTATTATAAATTTTCTTGTCTTGATTTTACATGTTGGAGTATTGGATACATCCTTACATTTAAAAGAAAAATTATTCCACAATACTGAACCCAAATATTGAGAAAATTTTTTAAGTAATCTAGCTAGTTTTGTTTCTTGGAACACACGAGTCAAATTAAGATCCAATAGGCATTAGTTGATTGGTGATACAAATGTATTTTATTTTTTTTAAAAGAATACACACATACATTTAAACGAAAGCGCATAAAAATTCATGTAAAAATAGGTCCTAACTCATATACTATCACTTCACGCTAAAGTGCATCATCATAAATGGAATGTTGATCTAGATCTTCGTAAACTTCACTATCTCCAGCATCATCAATGATCTTTGGATCAGGTGTTGAACGTTTCGTTGACAATTGTTTTGTTAATTTATCTTGGTTCTTCTTTCTTTTGCACCCATTTCTAGTACAATTCCTAAAATGTGGTTTTTTTTCAATTAATCAAAAATCGGAAAATAAATGATGGTTGATGACATTCTCCCTCCAAAAATAGAAACCTGATCAAGTATGAAAATAAATGGAGAATTTAAAATCAAACTCACCAGAGTATTAAAGCGAGGTTTAAGCCAACACTTATGGAAAAAGACGTTATCACTCCAAACAGAAAGGCTTTGGATTGTTTCCTTGTAATAAACTCTGCAGATTTCATTATGACTGTAATAAAACAAACATGAATTTCCAGTCGAAATCTGAATTAAGGCAAAAAGTACTAAAACTACATTTATTCTGATTGAATATACTATAAAGTTTCCTATCTTTGCACAAAATGTATAGGTCACCATATAATTAAAAATGGGAGACATAAATAAGAAGTTTATGTCAACAACAAATTCGCTTCTTTTTTGCAAAAAGTATAATGGAAAAAAATTGAAAAAAACTGGTTAATATGCATAATTCTGAAATTAAATGTTCCTAAATATTTCCTTCTTAAAATATACTTTTGAATTGTGAATATCAAAGAAACTATTTTCTATTAGAAGTACAATAAAGCAAATCCCTGAATGAAGAGGCATGAGAAGGAGTTATTGCCCTTGTCAACTTTTTCTTAAGATTGAATAATTCTTTTAGTTAACAATATTTATCAGTAAACCTATTGGAAAGCATTTCTCCAAAAGATATTGTTCTATCAGGTATGAATTTAAACTAATAACTGTTTTTGCAAAACCTATGACATAATAGGAGGGAGGAAAAAACTTCAAAATTATGTTAACCAACACATGGCTCACATTTTCCAAGTGTTAAATGCTTAAATTTAAAAATTAAAGTGAAATTCACGTATAAATAAATAAAAATGAAATTATTCGCAGTGTCAGAAAATAGGACCCCATTGTGTGCATTTCATAATGCAGATTTGAAATTTTGAGTTGGAATTTAGGATTGCTTTTTGCAAATATTTAATTAAAAATTATCAAGACGATATATTATCATAAAAAAACCTTAACAAAAAATTGACTCTTGCCCTATTTTAGTGTATTTTTAAAACCTAAGACAAGAGAAAATATTTACGGAAATATTTAAATATCATATAAATATGTTTGCAGATAAATTATCACAAACATTATGGAAATTTCCTTCCTCATGTACGGAAATAAACTTTGAACAATTTAAAAAAAATATATATTTCCATTTAATTTCTACTAATCAAGATGTTTGATTTTCTTCAGCTTTTTGAAATAAGTAATGTAAGTTAATTTTCATAAGAAGACGTATACATCATATTTTGTCTAGGAATCTTTTGAAAATAATATACAGATTTGTTATAAGACTTTTGTATAGAGGAATGAAAAAGCAATAATAAGAACGGAAAATACGATGTTATTTTCATAGGATATAATGTCCAAATGTTTTGATTTCCTTTGTTGTGAGAATTGTTGCAATATTTTTGTTTAAATGTTATAAAGTATCACAGAATATCTATTGTTAGACAAAGATTGCTTTTCAGTTGTTAAAATGTACAACAGATGTATTGTATTGGATATACAGTATAGCAGATTATTTTTGAAGGGTGCTTATTTTTGCTTATTTTGGCGTTTTGGTGTTAGTCCATTCCAATTTAAATCGCTAAAATATTCTATTTGCAAACAGGTGAAACTCTGTGTCCGCTAAAATAAATTACGCCAAACTAATTGGCATATTTGGAGCGGGAAAAACGCCAAATTTTACACTTGCCAAGAAAATACGCTATATGGTAGACTCTGTATCATGAAATTTATATAATAATACCATTGCATTGTCCGGATATTGCGTCACATGTTTCGATAAATGGACAACTGCTACAATTTCCCTCACAATTGTAACCAAAGCCTCCATCCGGGCATTCTGAAAGTAAGATTCCATGATCAAAAGATATTTTTTTGTGTAACATTTGTATATCTTATGCTGTATAGTGAATAGGAAAGATTATAGGCTTTCACTGTCCGTCAGTTTGTTTGTCTTTCTGTCCATCCGGTCGTCTAGTTCCCCTCTGTTTGTCTGTCAGTCAGTCTGTATTGCACAAATTTTTTCTTAGCCTTGCAGATATATTGCTCATGATTGGTACCGGGATGTGACTTTATCATGATTAATTATAAAACAAGTTTACATTTTGTTCCGTTTGAATGATTTTTGACAGAATTGTGGAGTTTTAAATCTTTATTGGAAAGAAATTTACACTTTATACTTGCTGGTAGGGCACTAATACAAAACTCTCAGAATGCATGTTATAATTAAACTTAAGTAGCCATTGTTAATAATAATTACGATGAATACACGTAACATAATTTTCAGTATTTCAACATGGAACTAATACAGGTCAGCGCATTTTTAAGCTCACGTGGTTTTTCACACAAATGTGTGACCAGTAGGCAAGGGAGGCTCACTCCTTCATGGCACCTAATCCCACCTCTGACGGTTTTGAGGTCCGTGTTTGCTCTGCTCTTAATTTGTATTCTTTTTTGGACTTCGATATTGAATACTGTTTGTTATTTCCATATTTTTCATTAAATGTATATCAACGTTTACCAAGTATTATTCTTATGTATGTATCTTTTGAATTTTTTATTAGTAAAACAAAATTAGAATTAAAATAAGTCAAAAAGTCAAACACCACTTATAAAATATATTTTGTTGCTCGTTATACAATATAGCATTGTTACGTATTAAAGTATATTTATGTAATATGTGACGTTAATTTGTGGTAAAGCCATTGAGTTTAAAAAATGCGCGAATCTGTAAATATTTGCTGCTCTTTTGGGATAATATTTTTCTAACCTTGGGGATATTACTTTTTCATAGTCTCAGTGATCTTGATAATGTCAATTAAGTTTAAAGAGACAATCATATGTATCTTAGGTATTGTACGTTTGTGTACAATTATACTTTCTATAATTGATGATAACCATTCTGAGTGTATTGCATTTACGACACTAGTCCCCTACCGGCAATTTAAACAGATACTCGAAAAAATACCAAAATACAGGGGAAAAACATCAAAGGGTAAAAGGCAATTTTAATCTTTAACTTGTCAAGGCACAGTCACCTACCAAAAAATCAGTTCAATATCTGCAAAAGTTTTAAAAAATACACGAAACTTTTGAAAATTGAATATCTCGTCAAATATCTATGAAAACCTGACTTATAACTCATCAAGATAAATTTATGTACCAAAAATCAGCTCAAAATCTGAAAGTGTTTAGAAAAAAAAATGGCGGCAAACCAAGTGGGATAGACTGACAGACAGTGATGGGGTAATGGTAATGTGTAATGGTAATTGACTGTAATTAATTACAGATTTCGATGTAATTGAAAGTAATGTGTAATTGGCCAAATTTTTAATTACAAGTAATGGTAATTAAATTAATTGCTTTCCAAAAAGGCATGTAACTCACAATTACTTTTCAATTACATTCAATTACACTGATTTTAAATAAATGAAAAATCCTCCACTCCCTACCATCTCATAAACATTATTTAAGAAAGGTTAACTGATTTTTTTGAGCAAATATTCTGATAGAATTTCTTAAAAAGAATTTTAACATATAGTCATATTTCCCTTTAAAACATGTTAAAGTATATTGCTAATTAGAGATTTTCCTATTTTATTTTCTTAAAAACTTTTAATTCAAATTAATCTTTGTAAAGTGACGAAATAAGATTTATATTTTGATTTTTTAATTAATTCATATCAAAATAAGTAGTCCAATGGCTTCTAATCATCTTGTTTGCAATATCTTCAGCTTCTGTTAGAAGTTATTATAAGGTGCTAATTAGTGTCCTGGGTCATGTACATATTCCTTAATTATAGATAATTTTCACACATTTTGATCTTGTCTCTTGGTATTTTTATTCACACACACCTTTGCATTTAAATTGTAGCTTGGCACAGAATAAGTCAAATACCAACATTTTGAGAATATCTTAATATGTTGTTGAAATGAGGAAGTATTAATGCAAAAGGCATCAATTGTACTTTCAACAAAAATTTAATCAAATGTTTCATGATTCCAAATTTTTAACATATAAATTAATTAAGGTAAAACCATGAATAAACTTTCTACTAGTAGTATCTGTGTATTCCTGTCACAAATACCCCAGTGGAAAGAATCTTCAGTGTGGCAGGAAAATCTTTAAAGCTAATAGATGTAGGTCAGGAGACACAGTTATTGAAAATTGTATGAACATCTTAAAAATATCATTGTAAAAATAAGTTGTAAAATAATCTGATATAAATATAAAGGATTAGGAATGTACATGACTATTTCCTTTATAAATTATAAATGTTTTCTTGAATGTAATGTGTAATTTAATTAATCACATTTGCAAAGTAATTGTAATTTAATTAATTACATTTCAAAATCCATGTAATGGTAATGGTAATTTAAAGGAATAGTCTCTAAGGTCTGAACGATATTTTCATAGGCAATAAATTAGCACGTAAATGTGTGAAATACATTATTAGGACAATCCCTCATTACTGCAAGCTTAAAAGAAGTTTGCTGATTAACAGAATCAATAAATATTATCACCCATCTGTGAAGTCTGTTTACTGCCCTCATTATTGCTCGGCATGATTTCCGAAGATAGCCGACTCAGCAGGAAGATGCTGACCATCTTATCATTTTCACTTTGGATGCTTAGTAGCAGAGAATGGACACAGAAGAGGTAAGTTTCATGTATTTAAAGCTTAGAGAACCTTAAAATTATACTTAAAAAGTTCTATTTACATTTATATTATTACTTAAAACACACCTCAGTTGAACAGAGTGACCTCCATCGGGTTATAATATGTGAGGGGCCTCATAAAGGTTAACTCACCAACAAACATTACACTACAGAAAGTATAGTTGCGTTGGCAGTTTTGTGTTTTTGTTTGAAAACAGACAAAAACAAATCATGTAAAACTAAAAAATTCCCCTTTTCTATCATACATTTTAAAAAAGATGAAATAAAGAGGGGGAATTTTAAACAAGGCCTGAACACATCAGTTGATAATATGAAATAGACAGCATAAGTAATCCTTGAATTAAAATTTCAAAAAGACTCCCAAATCTCAAACTTAATTGAAACTGAAGTTGAGCTTTTTAAGTTTTGAATTTTTAATTTTTTTTAATATATACATATTTTTACCAGACATATGAACAATTACATACACGCATTAATTATATATCTATATTAAAAAAAAAAACTAATTAAGCCTGCTCCTAATTTACAGTATACATTTACCTATGCTAACAAAACTGAATTAAAATAATTGCAATTATAGAGATTTTGACATATTTTTCATGTTTAAAATATTAAGTAATTGAAGATCATGTGTTTTTGATAGGTATTTTTTGCTTAAATTGATTTCATGAACATGTATGTTATTTTTATGAATAAAATTTTTTATTATAGAATGAATAATACAAATGTATAATTTTTATTATAGAATATCAATTTATCAAGACAGACATCTTCTTCCCCAGAATCCTCATCCTCTTCAGATTTGGGAAGGCGGAGGGGAAGAGGCAGAGGGCGTGGGAGAGGAGGATTCTGAAAATTGCTTCCAGAGAGAAGTATGGAAGAGGAGAGTGTCAAATCCCCTAAATGCATTCCTCTGTTTAGGACAGGCTGTGAGCACCATTGCTGAGCTTGATGTCCATCAGAACAATTCTATAAATAAACCATATGATAATTTATTAATCTGTTTCCAATTCATAGTACCTGGGTACTTTATTAAAACATGAGATTAAAAGGCAATTTTCTTACGTACCCATTTGAAATAGAGTGCCGATCCAACAACAGTTTTCTCCAAATGCACTGATTTTTGGCATCCTTTAAGCTGACAATTTGGTAGGACAGGTAATTCAGCTAATGTGTGAAGCTGTGAAAGATAAACAAGGAAAGGGCGGTCTTCCTTACAGCCCCCAATCTCTTCTGGAGTTAAAATTTTGGCAATCCCGGGGCGAAGATCATCATTTGATTCCTCATCAGAGCTATCCTCATTTTCAGAGTCCTCAACCACGGCTTCAGTCTGAGTGTCCTTCTTATGACAGGGATTAAATTTTATTAATAATTCTAATGTTAATCAGTAGATTGAAAATATTGAAATATGAAAATAAATTAAATAATTTACTGGCTTAGCAGCAAGGTGTCCTTGCAAAACATACCTCATGGTCATTATGAAACTAGGCTCATAATCTTCATCTGATGAATCCTCTGAGTTCTCGTTGGTGTAGTTTTCTGATAAGCAGATTGAGAGACTACGAAACAAAATTTCTGTAAGATCAACATGGATTATGATAATTATTCTGATATAATAGATACAATGACATAAATCAGTAATAACAAATATTATTTAAAAGTATTCTGATGGCATGCATATCAAACCTTATACTATGGAAATAATTTTTATATGATACCTATGATTTAAATAATTGTACTTACTCTAAAGGATTCAAGAAACTGCTTGGAGCTGTTGTTTTCTTATCAGTTTTTACAAACTGTTCTACACCAGATAAATCTGAATTTCTAAAAGTAGAAACATAACACCTATACATGTATATTAAATATATCTTTCAAGAATGGTGATATAAGGTCTAGATACTACTCAAATTTTAAAGAATATTTTATTCTAATTGCCAATCTTGTTAATTTACCTGTCCCCCTTGTCTAGATCTGAAGATATTTCAGACACATCTGAAAATTTGGGTGGGAGAATGGTCGCTGTTGGTCCCGGTGTTGATGTCACTGCACTTATTGCAGTTTTAACCTTCTTGGGAGAACTTTCAAACTTCAAGGTTTCATTCCTATATATACGACATTTATGTTCATATTGGTTCATTTGAGACACTGATTTAATAGTTAATAGTTCTTAATTAATTTCAATATAGTATCAGTCCTTTTATCTAAAATACTTTATATAGCATTATATTGCACAAACAAAATTAATAAAGCAGCAGGTTTTATCTTTTGTTAATACCTATCGCATTTACTAAACAAAGAAAGCGTACCCCCTGGGGGCCCCATCAGCATTCCCAGTTTGTTTACATACTGTTTACATTTGTTAATCGGCTTAATCCCCATTTTCTCTCTAAAATATTGCAGTTTTAGATAAAAATAAAAGATAAACTCATTCCTACTACTAAATACCTATACTGAAATCAAGATTTATTTAGCAGTTTTTGTGAAAATGAACATTATTTTACTTACCGATCAAGCAGGTACTCTGCTACATCGGCATGAGTTTTAAGCTGCAGCGTCTCTTTTAATTCCATCCAACGATCATAGTGACCACCTATAGCTATTCTGCTTTGATTGTATTTTGACACAACTGAAGTTCTGTTTCGTTTTCTTGCTGAATCTGTTAAAGATCGTTTTCTCCCACGTGTTGATCTCTTCTCCTCCGACATCTTCGGCTACTTTGACCTCGGTCAGGGATGCGCAGTTTGTTTTACGAGCAGGGTCAGCAGGGGTCTTCGTGAATGGAGCAAAGATAAAAGCCGAATTTTTGTGTGGATGATAAAAATTCATCCCGGCAGTTTCTTTATTAAGTAAGTGATATGTAAGGCACTCTGCTGAGTGCAAAGCTTGACAGATCAACATCATTTGACAGGGTCTGTTATACCAAATGCAGAAAAAAGTATATTATTTTGTTTGAATGAACCTTAGAGACTATCCCTTTAATTGAAGGTTTTGGGAAAGTAATTGTAATTTAATTAATTACTTTCCTATGTAATTGACAAAATCCCTGCTGACAGACAATCAGAGGTACGGCTAGACGGTCGGGCGGACAGGCTCTGAGAAAACCTAGAGTCCCCCCGGTTTCACCGGTAAGGACTAAAAAATATTGCATGTACACATCTGTTCAGCACAGTGTCAAACTCAAATATGCTAAGGTATTCACAGCTGTAAATTGCGTTGTGTCAACATTCAGAAATATCTTATTATATCATTTGCATTTTTAAATTTTCTTGAAAATAGTATTTTCTAATGTGAATGAGCTATAATTTGCTACCTTGCATACAAGTGTCTCCATGGTAACCTTTATCGCAGCCATTCAAGCATGACCCGTTTATGGGATGACATTGTTCTTTATCAAGACAAGACCCGCATGACTGAGCACAGTTTAGTCCGAATGTACTTCTGTTGCATTCTAAAGAGATGAACAATTTGTTTTCAGACTAATTTTAGGTGAATATGTTGTTAATTTGCATAAATTGTTCGTTCTTTTGGGAAATTAAGATGTCTAATATATTTCGACATTGGGCATTTTTGTTTAACCTTCTATTTTTATGATAAAAGGTACAAAAATGTTTAGAAAAAAACACCAAAATAAGTATATTTGGTAAAAAAAGTTTTTGTGAAACAAGGTACCAAATATACTCGTATCTTAGTATCTTAAGTACATGTATAAAATCATATTATGCATTTCTTAGTGCATCTGAATGATTTTGATTTTCTTTTTTCTATAAAATACTATCATTTTTGTACATATATGTAATATATATAACAGATTTATTACTCTTGTCACATTTTATATCCTTCCATCCTGCCTGACAGCCATTTTTACATTGCCCTGTTTCCCTGTTACATCTTTTCGGCTCTCCACAGTTGACGTCACACATGTCTAGGCAGTTATATCCATACCGCCCTTCGGGACATACTAAGACAAAAATAAAGAGAGTCCTCAAAAAGAGTACTGAAGTATATGTAATGTTGCTAAGCAAGGTTCAATAGTTTTTCAAAGTGTCTTACCCCATTTATATGATCATCAGTTGGCCGAATACTAATTTTTAAAAATATGAATTACTTTGAAAAGTACACGTAAGGTGATGGAAATGAAAGACGCAGCTAGGATAAGGCTGTCCGTAAAATAACAAACTGTTCAGACTGTAGTAACTTCTCTGAACTACCTAGATATGACGTCATAATAGAATATGACGTCAAGGCACTGCATACTTGAGCTGACATGACGGGGAAAGTGTCATAATTTGTACATGGCATGTACATTTATTTTGTGACCTTGTTGTTTAAATCAAGTGTTATAATTGTTTTTAAGCTCCAATGTGTTATTATGAAGTTGAACATTTGAAATTTAGATATTCTTATTTCTTTTGCTTGTCTGATATGCACATAATCAAACAATAGTGGAAAACTATGTGTGAAACTCTCCCCTCACACGTCCGTAGACAGAGTTAGAATTTAAGAATCGTGTTTATATTAGACTGGCACGAGTGAAAGACAAGGATAAATTGAATATATTCTGCGTGAATCTACAAGAGAAGTATGTCCTCTAACTGAATTTTGCTGGGGGATTTTGTGTAGCTTATCCATTTTTGTATAAATTGCGAGAAGGAGTGGAAAATACCCCCTCTTATGTTGGTAAGTTAAATTCTTCTCGTAAAATATTTTCTTAACGAGTAAAAATTAAACCTGCCCCCAGCACTTTCTATGTACCAGAGATCACGATGAATCAATCTATGTAACAAACTTTGCACAATATTTTTGTTTTGCACTTGTGCCGAAGCGATTTTTGTGCAACATTTAGGAATGTCATAAATCTCCGTCACGTGATCAACACAGTCATGTGGCATCTCAAAAATGCTTAATTAAAATACCTGATTAAACTATCGTCTCAAGTTGACTGCAATTTCAAACAAGGGTTACATATTGAAATTAAAATCTAGCTCAAAATAAAATGTACATATTTTTTAGACATTTAAGGCCTTCGGACAGCCTTATCATAACTGCGGAGACCATATACTAACTTTTACTCTAGATCATTGATTAATTAACCTTGTGTACAATTGTTTCCATAGTAACCTCTTTCGCAGCCATTCAAGCATGAACCGTTAATGTGATGACATTGTTCATTTCCGATGCAAAACCCGCATGACTGAGCACAGTTTTGTCCGAATTTACCACCGTCACAAACTATAAATAGAACATGAAATTAATATACATCATATTACTTTTATATAAATTCTTTTGATCAGAAAAAAAAAAATTGTTCCACTGTCCTACATAGTTGTTTATTGATTTTTTTGTCCTTTAAAAGGATGTTGATACTGTATGAAAAATCTGTATTAACCAAATCTGTTCTAAATAATAAAGACGAAAAGAATCTTAAATACAACATGAATATTTAATTTGCTATATTGTTCTGAACGGATAAATGAAAAATCTGTAGATATTTAAATGGAAAGATTATGGCCTAAAAATATGAAAATACTTTCATAGACCTAAAGATACGATAGACTGAATTTGCAAACATGTTAATTGATTGTTTCGACAACAGTATTCTATTATTTATATAAATGATATATTTAAGTCAGTATCCTACATCATTATAAAAAAATGGTCCTTCCTTAAATATGCTTTTCACGTATGTAATGAATAGGCCATTACTCTGTGATATACTTAAACCTATGAAGGAGAATGCAACTAATTAATTAATACGTGTGAGTTTAAATGTATTGCTGAATCGGTGAAAAGGAAAAAAAATCTTTGTCGTAACAGATATAGTTATATTATGCTTTTACCTTTACACCGCATAAAACCTAATAATTAGCGAGTTATAATCATCACAAAAAAAAAAAAAAACGATTTAAGGACTTTTAATAAAGCACAAACCATTAACTATGTATTTTTTCTCTCTATCTCTCTCCCATTCTCTCTCTCTCTTTCACCTAACCATTTTTCAGGATTGGCTTGTAGTTACGTACATTGATCACATCGTGAACCTTTCTGCCCAGCAATACATCCAAAACAAGTTCCGTCCACAATGTTACAGCGTTCTTCACGACATCTCTGCGGACACGGAAATGTACAATTCTCTCCGTAAATAACAAAGGAACGGCATCCTATATTGAATATTAGAATATTTTAAATGACCATATTCAATATATTTTTGTTTTAGCTCTATGTTGTTTGGAGCCAAAACTGGGGGATAAAAACACAACGAGTTAAATAAATATATCCAAACATAAATCATGGGGGATCCTATATTTATTTGAAATACCGGTATACGATTTCCTGTCAAGCGTATTTGCAAAAACAAACTCGAATGTTTAAACTTTATATAGATCTAGAATCACCCAATGAATCGATCCGAGATCTCTTGTTGAGATTAGATAACAACTGAAGATGTTAGATTCAGCTTTTTTCTTCATTGTATTGGTTGACAATGGTTTTCCATGGGGTATCAATTTCAACTGTTACCCTCCAAAACAGGCGCCAATTATATGATATATCATAAAGTATTTATTGTACAGAATAAGCTAGGTATTTTATAATTCATTACCATAAACCTGGACTTCACAGAGTTCATTGTATGCGTATGGAGAATATCCTTCAGGGTAGGTAACTCCTGGGAGTCTCTCATTATAGTAGATGACGTACCGTCCATGCTTTATACATTCTATTGTAATATTACTCGGTATCGTGTCTCTAGTGTAGTTTGTGTCTTTAAAACATGGATAGCCGTCATCTTTGTTGGTGGTGTTCGATAGGTAAACCGAAAAACCAAGGAAGCGGGAAGTGTAGCCATTGGATTTATCTAGTGAAATATATTAAATCAATATTAATGTGTGATGCTTTTTCATTATTATCTTTTTTTGTAAACACTTAATGATTTAAATATATATTTGTGATAATGATATTAAATATAATTTATTTTAAACATCGGACGAAAAACATTTACAAATAATTCCGTACAACCTCTTGCCAGTTTGCAATGATCACTTTTCAGCAACAAGCACTAAAATAGTTGATCTTTAAAAAAGACATCCCAAAATAATTAGCAAACGTTCCTTTTGTGCCTTTTCCCAATTTTTTTTTTTTTTGGAGGGGGGGGGTACTGAAAAAAAACTTTTTACGTTAGGAACATTTAATGCTATGAAATATCTTTGTCATTACATATTTATTACGAGTGAATAATCTTATCTTGTCTTTTGAAAGTTATTACATTTTATACGCGAAAAAATCTACAATATAAATAAATTATGTTACAAAATAATACCCACCGTAAACAAATATTTTACAGTGGAAATTACACCACCTTACCAATCCCTGATCAATTAAAATTTTTATTCAAAATAATAAAGAAAAAGCAATATTTTTTTACCAACGAGGATTGTAAAATTTAAATAGAATGTGCACTTAGTTAAATTAATGATTTTGAGTACGATACCCCACTGCAAATTGTCCGTCCTGTAGTAGATTGTAATATGGTGAATGCTGACAATTCCAGATAGATCCACCCACCAGGTAGCAGTTTGTTTTTCCCTTCCCGATATTACACATTGCCCTCCATTAAGAGACCTGTCCGAAAACCTCCCGTCCACTGCATTAGCAGACTTGATATAACTGTGATATGCGCTATAGGGATGATTTTGCCATGTTGATTTACGTAAAGCAAGATTCTCTATGAATAGAAATGAAACGAACTTTTTTTAATCACTGAAATATTCTCTAAGAGAGGAAATAAATTCTCAGAAATGGCACATATATACCAAATTAAACTTGTCAAAGATTAACTTTCTTATTAATTATAAATTTACTAAATTATGTAAAACTATCACTGCATGAAAAGTCGGGTTTACTTTTACCTTAAATGCAATTTAAATGCTGCGATTATTTAATGTTTAAATGCATAGTATAACATATTGTGGGATCGTAAACGTTAGAAAATAATAAGCATTTAATACGAGTTTAATGGAAAATTAAAAGAACAAATTTAATAAAGTTTGGAAAATTGTAAACTTACTAATACGTTCGGATTTAAGTCTCCCGTAAACAAATATTATACCTTGAGTATACAAAACGTATAATTATTATTAAACATGCCCATAAAATAAACGTTTT